TCACTTATCACGTCGGAAATGGTAACGTACCAAAAACGAGGCCGATAAGCAATCCTGTAGGTGTTTATCATCCTTGCTGTTTTCCTACTTACAAGTCTAGAGCTAAGCTTTCAACATAACATAACAGATATCAGTAACCACAACCAACGCGCGAGGCGAGATTGCCAAAAGTTTGCTGAAGGATTGTGAAAATTGTGCATATTTTATGAAGATTGTGCATATGATGCATATTGAGATCAGATTGTGCATAATATGCGCAATTGCAAGGATGTTCCAGTCCCTGCCGAGAAATGCCATAAATTATCTCTGGATTCTGGAAGACAATAGCTGAAAAAACCGCGTAAAGTCGAAGCGCGTAACAGGATTCCCTAGAGGTATGCAACGTTGTGGTCTCTTTCAAAATTTTCGATTTTTTTAAAATCTATAAGTTTCTTTTTTTTTAATTCATTTTTATCGGTCCCTTTAGAATCAGGTTGTGTGGGGGCCCCTCAGATTTGGGGGCCTGACGCAGAGTGCGTCGTTTGCTTCATGGTAGATCCGCCACTGTGTTGGAGACGGATTTTTTTAATTTAATTATTTTTCTAGGGTTTCTCAAAGGGTCTTCTAATACGTAGAAATTTTTTACGCTCTTTTTCGGACACCCTGTATTTATGGTTTTTGTTTTTATATTATAACGGAAGTCCAAACTGCCACAGTGAAAAATCACAGTAAAGAGTAACCCTGATATTTAATTTACTGATTCCATATTTCGCTGTGAAGGTACCATTTACTTTTACACAATAAAATCTATTTGTGAGAAATTAATGAATTAAGTCCAGAAGTTTGCCCCTCACGACAAAGTTCTCCAATTTATGTAAAAGCAAGTGATGTAAAACCTTATCACATGCTTTCTCAAAATCTAGGTAGGTATATAACGTCTGTTGGTTGCGAGGTGTCGTGATTTGTTGTCCAGTGATCAAGGCAAGTTAACAGATTTGTTGTAGTTTTCAACAAAACATGCAGTCAGATCTTCAACAATAATTCTCTCCGTACACTTACAGGGATTAGGTACATGTAAGTAAGGCTGATAGGCCGATAGTTCGCTGTTGCTGTTAAGTTCCTGTCTCCCTTTCCTTCTTGAATACAGGTGTCACAACTGCAAGTTTTCAATCCTCTGCCATTACTCCAGTGTCAATAATATTCTGATTCGCCAAGTAGTGGAGTAAGTGAATTTGCAGACTTCTGAGGAAATATTGTCGGAATATTATCAGGGCCTGGACTGCACTTGAACTGCATTTTATTTAATGCAGCGAATACATTTTCTTTTGTAAATTCTATGTATTCAATGCTATTGATGGTTTTTGTTTCAGGAGCCAGATGTGGGAGGGCGCTGGTCGGATTATGGAAAAATGATTTATTAAATTGTTCTGCAAGGTTAGCACCTATTAAATTGTCATCTACAATTATTTAGTTGTTATGGACTTTTAGAGAAATATGAAAAATAGTGGAATTTAAACTTCAGCTAATATACTAGTCAAAACGAAATAAGGACCACTTTTAAGAGCAGGTTTTCATTGAATTTTGAATAACCCTAGTAAAGTGACTATTTCCATTTACAATAAGTATAGATAAACAAATAAAGTGTGCACAAAAAAATTATATTGTAAATGGAAATAAACACTTTACCAGGGTTATTCAAAATTCATTAAAAATAAATGGGTTTTCAAAAGTGGTCCTTATTTCGTTTTGACTAGTTTATATTTATAAAATCTCTAGTGGATTCCGATGTTACAATTTCATTTTTAAATTTTCTTCTGGCTGTACTAATCATATCTTTAAGCATATTATTATGAGTGGTATATACGATAGTTTTGTTTGTTTTTGTTTTTAATATATTTTTCCCATAGCTTCCGTTTCTTGTCGATTTCTTCGAAAATTCTTTCATTTATCCAAGGTTTCTTAACTCTAACCGATTTGCTTACTCTAATATACATGTGAATTTGAAAAACCACATTCCAAAAGAAGCTATACTGAATCGGTTTCACAACTTCGTCATGATGCTTATCAAGGTATTGAACAAATATTATTATTGAGTCGTGCACCTGAAATATTCAGCAAATCATAGGCCATGCGAAAAATATTCGCATTATACTGGTGTAGGTACTCATTAAAATAAGGATAGATAATGGTCCTTGGTGAGTTTGCATCACAGGAGTTTGAGAAATTAAATGTTAAAAATAATGGACAATCCCGTAGCTAATGTCGATAAAGCAACGAAATCTGTCATCATAAAATATTTTTAAGACGAAAAAATTAATAAGGTCAACTATATTTATTTATTTATATCAGAAGCAGACAGAAAGTCATCACAATTATCACAAAGCATTCTTCCAAGAGATGGTAAGAAATGTGAAGGAAAGTGATTCGAAAACAGTGATCCCGCAGAAGGTAATTGAGAAGTACAATTTGAACGCTGAAGACATAGATGCAATCTCAGTAGATGTTAAAGAAAGTCAGATTGCAAAATCCGATATCGAGATGTTGGGAATGCTGCAAAAAGCTTTCAAAAGTGAGGGTTTATAAAATTAATTGAAAAGACCAGGAGATGTTTTCAAAATTACTCTGTTATGCCTACAATTTATATTTTATTTAAAAAAAAATATTAATTTATCTCGAATGGAATACTAAGTAAGTACTTTAGATTTTATTTTGATATTGGGATATAATAATATACCTACTAGCTTGAATCACAATTTAAACTAGTACAAGTTGCTAGATTCAATCGTCTGAAAAAATCAGCCTGAAGGTACCCGCAGCATAAATGTTATGAAAACTACATTAACGATATTGTTGCAATAATAAATTATGAAAGCTCCCATTATTCAAGCCCCTTTAAATTTCAAGCTCCAGAAACATTATTAGGATCGGTAAAAATCTTCGTAAAACACGTTTCCATTACTCAATGTATAGGTAGATATTACCTACTTAATCGGAACAAACTCTCTTCCTAGACAAGCAAATGCCTTTTCTTCATTAATTCTTCATGTACTAACGATTGTTTTCTCGCCATTCCATAATGACATGACTCGTAGACCTGAAGAAATAGTCCATTATAAAGCATCTTAATTATAGAAGATGTAATCATATTAAAAGGCGATGATGAAGCAATATCTACAATAAAGCAATCCTTTGTGTACGCACTCTACTAAAAATTACATGTTTCTAATTGGTAGGTTTCTCATTATAGGCTGCTTAATTTATCTACGATAGATATGGACAAGATAAAAGACACTATGATATAATTAAATTAATATTTCATACGGAACTAATTAAAAAATCATGAAATCCGAAAACGATAAAAGGTTTCAATTATGAATTCTGCAAGCGTTGCAACCGTTTCAATTTCACCGGTTTCGAATTCTTCCAAAGTGAAATTCGGCGTTGGGTTTTTTTTATAACCGATAAAACATCTGTGGTGGCAAATTTGGAATTTTTATGGTAAATGGTTACGCATTATTACTGTCTCGAAATTGAAAGAAATTTTAATGCATTTGTACCTACTTCCTGGTAAGAATTTCATTATCTGTCTAGTTTTTTTAAAATTTCACCCACGCAACAGTGGCCCGGAAGCTTATTTTACGGAGCATGCAAATCTCAAGCCAAGAAACTTTTTTAAAACAATTATTTACATTTTTAGACGTGATTTCAATATTTAAGTATATTCATTGGATATGTTGGAATGTAAGAGAAATTATATACCTAGTTTAGGGATCTGCAATTCTCGATTAGGAGCCTGATGCAATTTATAATTAAGTATTCAAAAATAAAAGGTTTAAATCGATTTAAATTGAGTTAGCCTGATTTTTTGCTTAAAGCGGATAAATTGATTCTTCACCAACAAAGTTGTTGTGAATGGAATATTCAATTTTTTGCTGATATTTTGACATACCTATCGAGAAAATCATGTTATGGGAAAAATTATAAAGAAACATACATTTTAGCTACAGATAAAATTGGATATTTGTGTGGTATGGTACATATACATAATCAGTAAACTTTTTGTTAACTTCGAATTAAATATAGGTAGGTATTGTTAAAGTTAAAATTTCAAGTTATTTTTAACTCAAAATCTAACAATTTATACTTCCTTTCGCTTTGAATAGATTTGAGTTGATTGAAATTGAGTTGATTGGTTCCAAATTCCAAATAAGTGCAAATGTTTCAATTTTCCTGTTTTTTTATGAATTCATACCTACAATTCACCAAAACTATTGATTTAATCTAATCAATTCGGAATTGGATTAGCTATGCGTGCTAGTTGATTTTTATAGAAAAATTGCCTATTTTATTTCTATTTTAATCCGAAAGTGGGCTACTTTGGGTTAGTTGTGGGTTAGACATACAAAACAATGCAACTTATGCTGCAGGAAACGCAAATTTGACGTATTTTTTCTAGGCAAAGTAGGGCAGAATTTGATTCTGCAAAAATTAATAATTTGAATTTGCCCTCTTGATAATGATTCAAGGATTCAATTTGCATCATCAATTTTCGCTTTCTGAATGAGTAGTATAATTCTTTAAATTCTCAGTAATCGAACGAGACTTTTTAGAATAAAGTTTACTAAAATATTCGTTTGCCTTACCAATTAGGTACTAAATAATTCACCACCATCAAAATTTTAAAAATAGCTACCTATGTTGCATCTTCTCTATCTATTTTTTAATGCCAATTGAATTGAGTCAGAAAAACTACATTAGGTACTTAGAAAGTAAAATGCTCCTTAACTAAAATAATTGAAGAAGGTAAAATTGCACCCCTAGCTAGGCAAAACCAAATTTTTCTGTTCAAATCGGCAACTGATAGCACTGACTTACCTTTTCAAAATAAGTCTTAAGCAAAATCAGAGAGGCGCAGGTAATCCACTTAAAAAGCAAATTTCTCACCCTCACTAAAACTTTCAGGGTAAGTTGTGTACCCCTATTTTCTCTTTAAACATTCAATTGATGGCGTCGACACTTACCTCTTTTTTTAATTATTGTCCAAAAACACTCTAATAATAATAAAACACTAATGTATGCTATGGAACACCTGAAAAAACTGCGAGCCCGCCGTTCTACGCTCGGTATATAGCCGGCCTACATCCCCACAATCCGGTCTTTGGCCTAGATTGGGCACCTGTGTGTGTGTCGGACGCCCCCGTTTCTTCTTCTTCTTTTGAATCTTTTGCTGTTGATGCTTCTTCTGTTCGCACCTCGGCCTATAGTCTGCGAGTCTATTTTTTTTGCGGAAGATAGACTTACTCGACTAGAAATACTAGAAAACAAGTGTAACCTAAAACAGCAGTCCCAGAAGAGTTGGGACAGCCTTTTTCTATCTTTTAGCTTTCAGTATTTGCGACAATTGTAGTTATATTGACAACTTAAAAGAGTGCTCCATGAAATATGAAATAGTACCAATTGATGGTTGATGGCCATTAGTGCTTCTTAAATACTACCTATTGACCATACTTCTACTAAGTTACTTACTTACATGAGGGGTTAGGGCTGTGAAGAAAATCTTGGAAATTTCGCGTGTTTTCCATTTAGCAACATTAATGCTCACCTTTAGTGATGAAAAAAACCAAGACGGAATTATTCGTTGCTAACCTGCCTCATACTAACAATTATTTGATCGGAGAAAATGCCTTTTCTCATGCGCAAGGTACTTTATATTAATGCAGTTCTCGGTGTCACTGCTGTTCCTCTTGTTGCTTTTCTGATCGTTGCTTTTGTGCTTATTATTTCTCTAGATTATCAGTTTCCTATGTGGTCTCTCTTGATATTCTTATTTTTTTTGGATTCTATAGACTCTCTGTTTCATCTAGGTATGAGAGGAATCATGAATCTTCGCTTAGTTTCTCGGTAGTCATTGAAATTTAGATATTTGCCAGTGTTAGTGTGAAGTTATCCATAAAATCTCAGCCATAAAACTAACGAATCGCGGTTTAGCCTACTTTTAACTATACCGGCCGGATTCTCATAAATTGTGGGGGCTATATTGGAAATAACTATGAATGTTAGCTACTACTCCTAGCAATAAACAAAAATTAGTTTTGTGTAATGCCCCGCCGTCTGAGTGTAGAGACTACAATCGAAAATTAACAAAAATCACGACTTTTTTAGGATTTTCAATTTTTTTGAGACACTCAGACGGCGGGGCATTACACACAACTTATTTTTCTTCATTTCTAGGAGTGGTAGCTAACATGAGTAGCTATTTTCGAAGCGGCACAAGCAACCGTCTGAGACTACAATCGAAAATGGACAAAAATCACGACTTTTTTAGGGTTTTTAACTTTTTTAAGACACTCAGACGGCGGGGCATTACACAAAACTAATTTTTCTTGATTTCTAGGAGTGGTAGCTAACATGTGTAGCTATTTTCGAAGCGGCACAAGCAACCGTGTTACGTGTAGAGACTACAATCGAAAATTGACAAAAATCACGACTTTTTTAGGGTTTTTAACTTTTTTAAGACACTCAGACGGCGGGGCATTACACAAAACTAATTTTTCTTGATTTCTAGGAGTGGTAGCTAACATGTGTAGCTATTTTCGAAGCGGCACAAGCAACCGTGTTACGTGTAGAGACTACAATCGAAAATTGACAAAAATCACGACTTTTTTAGGGTTTTTAATTTTTTTGAGACACTCAGACAGCGGGGCATTACACAAAACTAATTTTTCTTCATTTCTAGAACCGGTATCTAACATGTGTAGCTGTTTTCGAAGCGGCACAAGCAACCGTCTGAGACTACAATCGAAAATGGACAAAAATCACGACTTTTTTAGGGTTTTTAACTTTTTTAAGACACTCAGACGGCGGGGCATTACACAAAACTAATTTTTCTTGATTTCTAGGAGTGGTAGCTAACATGTGTAGCTATTTTCGAAGCGGCACAAGCAACCGTGTTACGTGTAGAGACTACAATCGAAAATTGACAAAAATCACGACTTTTTTAGGGTTTTTAATTTTTTTGAGACACTCAGACAGCGGGGCATTACACAAAACTAATTTTTCTTGATTTCTAGGAGTGGTAGCTAACATGTGTAGCTATTTTCGAAGCGGCACAAGCAACCGTGTTACGTGTAGAGACTACAATCGAAAATTGACAAAAATCACGACTTTTTTAGGGTTTTTAACTTTTTTAAGACACTCAGACGGCGGGGCATTACACAAAACTAATTTTTCTTGATTTCTAGGAGTGGTAGCTAACATGTGTAGCTATTTTCGAAGCGGCACAAGCAACCGTGTTACGTGTAGAGACTACAATCGAAAATTGACAAAAATCACGACTTTTTAGGGTTTTTAATTTTTTTGAGACACTCAGACGGCGGGGCATTACACAAAACTAATTTTTCTTCATTTCTAGGACCGGTATCTAACATGTGTAGCTGTTTTCGAAGCGGCACAAGCAACCGTGTAGAGACTACAATCGAAAATTGACAAAAATAACGACTTTTTTAGGGTTTTTAACTTTTTTAAGTCACTCAGACGGCGGGGCATTACACAAAACTAATTTTGGTAATATGTAGCTATTTTCGAAGCGGCACAAGCAACCGTGTAGAGACTACAATCGAAAATTGACAAAAATCACGACTTTTTCGGGGTTTTTAATTTTTTTGAGACACTCAGACGGCGGAGCATTATACAAAATTAATTTTGGTTGATCGCTAGTAGTGCATTTATAGCTATTTCTAATATGGCACAAACAGCCCTTAGAATATATGAGAATCCGGCCGGTATAGTAAAAAGTAGGCCTAACCGCGATTCGATAGTTTTATGGCTGACATTTTATGGATAACTTCACACTAACTTTGCCAGTTTGTTTTCTGTAGACACTTGTGTTTATCTGTGCGTTAATTGGTATTATAACCATGGTAAATAGTAGTTCGATTCCTTCTCCATTATTTGAACCTTTTGCTGGGCCTTAGGTGGTTTATGATATCTTGTAAAGATTTTATTTTTTTATTTCAGCTTATAAGCATGGTTCTGAAAGCTTCTTCTTCAAATCAGTTCATATATTCATCACTATATTCAGTGCCCCTGTGGTTGGTTCGTTTTTATAGACATTTCGTCTCGAATTTTGTACATTAAACCGGAAAAAACGGTCCTCCGGCTGTCTTTATTATATTCACTAAATCCCTAGAATCTTTGCCGAGTTATATTCTGGTGAAACCGAGAACATTGAACTCGTGATTGTGGCACATGCCGTATTTGAGTAGTTTTGATAATTCCTATAGAGATATACCTAGAAGTTCTCTTTATCAATACCTGTTCTAGCTTGGTGTTGTTAAGTAAAGACCAAATGAGATGTACAATAAATTACCAAAGATAGATCAAAATCTAAAAAGCTAGTAGAGGACCTTAATACTAGGACATTGAAGATTATAGTATAGGAAGGATGCTACCAATTTTTATTCAAGAATATCCAACTAGAGTGCGAAGCTTCAAGATCAAAGCCTCAAGAACATAATGACAGAAAATGGTAATTACTCAACCCACCACCAACAACTAAATAAACTTTAGGACATCTCATCAAGACTTCTGAACAAAAATAATCAACAACTGCTATCTAAAATTCCAAAGATTTCAATTTTGCTACGATTCTTAAAGACATGTAACCATTGACATAATAGCCCCAGTAGAAACAATCGAAGCCGGACCAATCTTTCCATAACTTGTATACCATCTTCAGATACTATGTGACCTAAGAATTCCACTTTCTCTTGAAATAGAAAACACTTATTTGGATTGAGTTTCAAGTTATGGACGAATTTGCCATGATCTTGACATCATCTAAATATACCAGACAAGTTCTCCATAAGGCCCCGCAAAACTGGATGCATTAGTTGCTCAAACGTAGCGGGAGCATTGCACAATCCGAAAGGCATAACGTTAAACTGATATAACCCGCTTTCGGTACTGAAGGCAGTTTTCTCTTTGTCATCTTTGTGTATTGCTACTTGCCAGAATTCACTTTTAAGATCCAAGGTGGAAAATCACTTGGAGTCCCATAGAGTTGTTAATGTATGGTCTATCCTCGGGAGAGGGAAGCTGTACTTCTTGGTGACGTCATTAAGCTTAGGCTAGTCCACACAAAATCTGAGACTCCCATCATTCTTCGTAACCAATACTACTGGCGCAGACCATGGACTAATACCCCCAATAATTCCCTCTTGAATCATTTTATCAATTTGGTTTTCCACTTCCTGTTGTTTAGCTACTAGCATACGTCGAAGTGGTTGTCTAATTGGGTGTGCTAGTCCAGTATCCATTACAAATACCTCTGCTTCTTTCAAGATGAAATCTGTGGCTTCCTGAAGTCTAACTGAATCGAGGTATTTCCATGATTTCTCCAAAGTCTGCATCAAGGTGTCTGTATTAAATTTCGGTTTTACAAAATGTCGCTTATCTGATAGGTCACAGTTCGATATTTGCTTAACTGATTCGAGAGTTCCAATAATATCCCCTTTCTTTATTTTTACTTTTTCAGAAAAAACACTGGCAATTCTTATCATAAAATCTCCATTTGTTTTTACTAGAGTCTTTCCAACGAGAAATTTTTCTGGTTTATCTCCAATAAAAGTATGTGTTAGCCTAACGCAACACCCAGCCTTTCAACTTCCGATTCAAATTCTTGTAAACTCTCGCCGGGTTTTTGAATTTTTGATTTAACTTGAGTTCTCAATACTTCTTGCCTGTAATGGACTCCGAAGCGCAATTCTAACGTCTGACTTTGATGCTGGTAAATTGAAGGAACTGACTAGAGAAGATTTAAGGCAAGTCCTCGTAGCGCCACTATCAGTGCTATAGCTTCTTCTAGTTCTTCTTGATCGTTCCATCCGTTGGTGTTTGCAGCAGCGTCAAATTGTCGGATATACATGGTCCAGGACGAAGAACCGTCAAAGGTTGGTGGTTTTATCTTCATACTAGAGAATGCTCCAAGACTACCAGGAGTAACTGTATTTCTAATTTATTCACCTTATCTTCAAGTGTTTGAACTTAGTCCTCAACTTCTTGTCTTGATTGCTGAACATCGTCTTTAACGTCTTGAACATTGTCTTTAACTTCTTGAACATCTTTAA